GAAAAAAAAAAAAAAAAAAAAAAAAAAAAAAAAAAAAAAAGTATGTTTCCTTAGACCTATTTCTTTCTCAGAAAACCCTAACTATAAAAGAGAAGACAGAAAAGTCTAAAACAGAAATGATGGAACTGTTATCCAAACATCTGGTTAGCTATTCCTTTTCTCAAAAGTTTTGCAAGTGAGGAGGTAACCAATGTAGTATCCAATATACTTAATTACAGTTTCAGCGCCACCACTGCTTAATACCTTATTATGAAAAATTAAAGGGAAAAATTTGGTAAACATATTTAGATTAAAAAATGAAGAGTATAGACCAGCTCCCGCTCACTGGCTGAGCGAGGCGCGGGAGCAATGCCGAGGCTTGCGATCCCGTTGCCGGTCCCCGGTCCGGTACGGGGGCAACACTGAGGGTTGCGATCCGTTGCCGGACACGGAAAAAAGACAAAAAAATAAATAAATAAATAAATAAAAAATAATAATAATAATAAAAAAAAATGAAGAGTATAGATTAAAATCAATAGGCAAGTGTGTCATATGTTTCCCTACTTACCAAAAAAATTCAGAAAACTTACAGTAAAAGACACAGCAAGAATATCATTAAAATTTACATGGAAGAAAATTAAATGTTCTAGAGGAGGGATGAGAAATAAATACACAAAACTCTAAATTACAATTACTATATTTGAGCATTAAAATCAAGCTCCAGATTTCTTGGAAATTAAAGCCAAAATGGGAAACATGGTAGTTTATATAATTCTTCTCTGATAGAAAGAAAGCATGCTGGTTCATGAAAAGAATTTATATTTTTTTCCTGGAATTCTAAAAGGAATTTGGCACCCTTTTGTAAGAAAAACAAATGGGTAACGTACTCAATAACATATTTGTAGAAGCACAAATGTTCTTGCATAGTCTCAATAAACCAGAGCAAAAAATAACCCCTCAATGTAAGTCTAAAGTTGTCCATTTACTTCCCACTATTTTTCTTTTTAATCCCTTTAAAATTTCGTGGTCTCATTGAAGACAAGGACACAAATAATAGGCATCACCTACAAAACACCAAGAGGTATAAATCAAGCACTAATTAGCCACTGGTGCCTCCATGCCACATCAAGACAGGGAGTTTCCTCTCTGGGAAAGTGAGCAACTCTCATGGGTCTTTATGGACAGCCAGAAAAACTCGAGAGGTGCCATAAAACTCTGGTCCAAGTGCCTTGCTGTTTGTAGACTTTTTTTAATTAATAAAATCTGTTAGAGAATTCAATAATGTTCTAAGACTCCCTTTGTTACTGTTCTGGTTTATTTTGCTTTTGGAGGTTTCAGGGGGGAAAAACTATTTAAAGGGGTTTGGGAATGGCAATTTCATTAAAGTAAACATAAATGCATGTATTTCTGCCTATTTAACTATCTCTTCAAATGAGAAACAGTATCAATGAGCTCACCTTCAGAATCTCTTCCACACAATGGACTTCATTGGAGTAGGTCTGCTGAAAGTGAAAAGCAAGAAAGAAAGGGATAGTAAATAAACAAACCACTAAAAGTGAAACTATTGCTAGATGCCAGTATTAATACAGCAATACTCTTATAGATCGCTAGAAAAGGTAGGCCCTGAGGTGAGCCTAAGTATTAGGAACTTTACAATCTGGATGAAATAAGACCAAAGAGATTAACCTGACTTAATCTTGGGGGTAAACACGTAGCACTGGAGACAATGGCAGACTAATTGTGACTCTCAGGTCAAAAGTTTCCAATGGAAAATTTGCATTTTAAAGAAAATTAGTATATTAGTAAATCTAAGGGAATAAGATACAGCAAAAAGAGACTGAAACAGGTGTCACGATCAGCTACCTCATAGCAACATCTGAACAATGAGCCAAGTTGAATGAACACAAAGATGGTGGGTCACCTGCAGACTTAGTAAGTCCACAGTAAGGAGGCTGAAGTGCAGTCAAGGATAGCTCTTTATTATTTTTAAAAATATCCTAACCTGCCAAAAATCCATTTTAAAAGTAAAAATGTCTTTAACTCTACTTCAAGTCAGCCTTTTCACTTTATATCCACACACATATGCATACACACGTATATGCACACAAAAAATCATCTCAGAAAGAACCTAAGGGGAGAGCAGATTAATTAGCATCTTAAAGGAAAGATTCATTATTTATATCCCCAGCTAAACAAATGAGGACCACTGTGGCTGGTGCTGCTAGTATCACCACCACCAGACTGCGCCTAGGAAATGTCATTTTGCAGCCTACTTTTAATCACAAAGAAAATAGGAAAGTCAAATCTAAAATACTTTTTCTGAACTGGAGGCATGAAACATATCCTGTGACTTCCTGGTTTTCGATGGAATAGCAACTTCTGCTTTGTGTCAATTCATGGGCCAAGCCCCTGGGCACAGTACAGAACAGCAAGGCCTGTACAACACTCGCCCTTCCCATTACTGCAAGGCTCCTCAGTTTAATACAACACCTACCTCACAGATAGAGAGTAGATGGGAAAGGATTCTTCCCTCTGTTCTTGGTTCTAATTTAGAATTTAAATTAATAAAGCATTGGCTGCTAATTCACAATCTGGGGTTTATTAATCCACCCTTTCCTCATTCCAATTTAAGGCAGAAGGAAAAGGAAAGAAAACATTACCACCATCTTGTAACTGAATGTAACGGACATGTCAAAATTTATATACAACTTGACCTGATTACATTTGTTTTAAAACATGTAAATTTCCTGAAAATGGTTTTATTAAATTTTTTGCAGTTTGCTACTGCTGAGCTAGGGCCAGGAAGTTAGGAGGTATAACTGAAGAGAATCAAGGGTACCCATTACGTCTGCTAGTTTGGACCCATCTTCAGACACTATGCATGTTAACAACTTAGAACTGCTTTTTGTTTTTCAAAACCATTAAGGGATGCCTAAAAACTGGACCAAACATTAGTGCTCTATTTTAGCACAAATGTCAGATACAGAAATGCATGCTGTTTTCACCTGAGAGTAAAGTGTAATTATATTCTATGGTTTCAATTTTTATATGAATCACTAGAAAAAATAACAATCAGAAGCTGAAAGTGAATCAACAGAACAGAGCATATGATTGTACAGCTATGGACACATAGTTCCCTCATTCTATCTTTTTGGAATGAGAATGTGAACCCAATCAAATTATCTGACAATAAAAGAAGTGAAGCACATTGGAATGAGGGCAAAAAAAATTTGTTTCCAAAAGAATGAGATCAGAAAGCAACCCCTTCAGGACACTGAAAGACTTCTTTCTAATACTCATAATTATTCAAACAATTAACACTTGGCCAAGATGTTTCATGTCACCAAAAGACTCATTTTTCTGGAAAAAGTTTTATTACATGGGATGAACCAGGACTGAAATTTTCCTAGAGCTAATTTTAATTAGCAACATTTACTGTACCCAGATACTAATGAACAGTCACCATTCAACCCATTTAAAATTCTAAATAAGGTCTTAGGTTCAAGCATTAGTTGGTGAATTCACTGTCACTTTCCCTAAAAGTCCATTATGAGAGTGGAGGTGTTTCAAAAGGGAGCAGGGATTCTATTCCAAATACATGAAGATATATCCTACTGAAGAATCTCCAAGCAACACTGTTTATAATGGCAAATAATTGGAAATGATCAAATGCCCAGCAATAGGAGTCTAGCTAAATAACCTTATAGTGCACCCATATATCATGCAGACAATAATATATACATATGTGCTTGCATGGAAAGATGGAAAGATGCTCAAGATATAATCTGGGGGGGTGGGGTGGAGGGGAGGCAGGGGGCAGCTGGTTGGTACCAGGAACTGAACCTTTGACCTTGGAGTTACAAGGCTGTGCTCTAACCAGCTGAGCTAACTAGCCAGCCCTCGAGATATATGCTTTTAACTTTTTCTTCAGAAATAATTTCATATTTACAGAAAAGCTACAAAAATAGTAACAGAAATTCCCACAAACCCTTCACCCACATTTCCCAAATGTTAGTATTTACTGCATCTGCTTTATATTTCTCTCTCCCACCCAACCGCATATACTTTGAACTGCTTGAGAACAAGTTAAAGACTAAGAGTTAATGCCCCTTTAGTGTGTAACAAGATACATTTTAAACCTGTATTTAAAAGAGGGGAGGTAATAAGATAGTCTCATAGTTAGTATAGTTAATGAAGCCAATTTTTTGTTCCATCTACCAGAGATTCATATCTCCACTCTTCTCCTCACCCAAATAACAGACACAAACTGGAGTATAGGTCTTTCAGACGTGTTTGCAGAGAGATCTGTAAGGACAGGCTGCCCTGTTCAATAAAGTACAACTTGGCAACTCCAAGTCTGCCACTGCAAGGAAACTTTCCAAAAGGAGAGGGGTAGATGAACAAACCATTAAGTCCTCCTAATCCCTTTCTTAAAATTCACTTTCCCCGGGCCGAGCCCGTGGCGCACTCGGGAGAGTGCGGCGCTGGGAGTGCAGCAGCGCTCCCGCCGCGGGTTGGGATCCTATATAGGGATGACTGGTGCACTCACAGCACTCACTGGCTGAGCGTGGTGCGGCCGGTCTCAAAAAGGACAAAAAAAAAAAAAAAAAACTTTCCCCATAGGGTCTCCAGCTGAGTGTTACTACAAAAAAAAAAAAAAGCCAGGCTCTCCCTTTAACACTGTGGCCAAAGAATAAACAATCTGTCCTGGCCAGGCCTCGCTGAAGCACAGCTGAGAGAGATAAGGCTGAACTTTTAAGGTAAAGCTTCTAAAGAACGAGATGACAAAAAGCAACAAACACCTACGACAGTTGCATAAATCAAGACGATCTAGTTTGCAGGTCCTTCCCTGTCTAATTTTCCCTTGACAGTGTAGGCACTGACTTTTACTTATGATCACACATCTCACTGTTGTCTCCCACCCTCAATATCTAGTTTCGTAGCAGAGATGAGCTCTCCCCTCCCGTCTATTTGTGGTCACCTCACACATCGGTTTTCCTGTATTTAGACCAACCTCTCTGCAGAGACCCAACTTCCCCATTGGGGTATGGCCTTAACACAGGAACCATAATGCTACTCAATTTTTTTCAAATGATAGCAGCTACTTGTTAAATGCATATTATGCCTGACATTTGCAATAAACTTTTCACACTTTTATTTCCTCAATGTGATACCATCAATTGTAAGATGCACCATCATTAGCTTGGCAGAGGGAGCAAGCTACTACACTAAATGTACTCATCAACTGTAAGATATATCCCTACTACAGAAACTTAATAATGAGATAAAAATGTCTGAAGTAATTCTACTCTATTGAATTTTCACATCAACCTTTGTGGTAGGTATCATCCCAGTTTCTAAAATGACTGGCTGCCTCTGTCTAGATCGTCTAAGGGTATTTGTGCTGACCTATGAGTACAGAGAAGGCCAGGGAGGGGCACCCTCGGCAGGGATAAAAACTAAATAAAATGAAGGGACTGAATCCTAGAGGAATTAAGTCGCATGCCCAGGATCACAGAAAAGCTTCAGAATACTGTTTCTCTGGGTTTCTGAAAACCTCAACATTCATGCAAGAGACAAATATATTAGCATTTTAGGAGGGGATGTGATTCCAGTTGTCCTATGCAGGACCAAAACCATTTTTTTAAAGAGCAATGTTTTTCTTTTGTTTCTACAAAGAAGCATTTTGGTATTAATATTTAACTGCCTCTTACAAGTGCTTCAGACCAGAAAAGGCAGCAGTGCCTTTGTTACCACTCTTGGAATGACATTGTGTAATCATAAGGAAATGCACTGATACCAAAATAAAATGTTAGTTAATGTCTTCTAAACATGATGCGTTTTTTTTTTTTTTTTTTTTTTTTTTTTTTAATGACCGGTAAGGGGATCTTAACCCTTGGCTCGGTGTTGTCATCACCACGCTCAACCAGTGAGCTAACCTGCCATCTCTATATAGGATCCGAACCCGTGGCCTTGGTGTTACCACACTCTCCCAAGTGAGCCACGGGCCGGCCCTCACAGTTTGTTTTAATAAGCTAAAAAGAGCTGGATGGAAGAAACGCCCTCACCACTGAGGCTAGGAGGCTCTTGCAATATTGTGTTTTAAGTCTCTCAAGTTTCAACAGAGCAGCATTTTTATAACAATGCTATTCTCAAAAAGGCTTAGTTGTCTCTAACCAGGAAATACATGGAGCACAAAGGCAGTGTGCTGAAGAGGAAGCCAAAAGATCTTGGATTCTAGATCTGGCTCTGCTGAAGACTGGTTCTGCAATTTTGGATAAGATTCAACCTTTTGGGGACTATTTCCTCATTGTGATAAGGGATAATATTACCAAACCTAACAACTTCACAGGGTTGGTATAAAGGTCAAATGTAAAAACATGAAACTTTAAAAACTGTCCAGAGGCACTGATATAGGAAATAATACACGGTGCCAGCACTATCAAGGCATTCTTTAACAGTGTGACAGCCTTAAAAGAAATCCCAACAGGTTCTCTATCTA